GCAGACCAGGCACTCTCGACACTCACCAACCCGGTAACCTTTCTCTCCAACTCGGCCAACTTTCCTATCTACTCCGCACTCATCGCCTCGACCTTGATAAGATTCTGATCCATCTCGGCCTGCATCGACCTTAGTTTCCCCTGTAGATAGTCACACTCTGCAGCTACCCCCTTGCCTAACTCTAGCTCTTCATCCTTCGCGCGAAGTTGCTCCTCGAGCACACTATTTATACGAACAGACTCCATCAACTGCTGGTCTCTCTTCTACAATTCCTTGCCGAGAGATCGAGCACCGGGATTCTCCCTCAGCCGCTCATGCATCTCATGACACTTGTTGCGATAGTGTCGATACTTCTCCAACATCTTCAAGAAAATCTTGGCCCGAATGTCGGCCCTGCGCATACTCTCCACTTCCACCTTGTACGTCTGAAAAACGAGAAGATGGGTTAAAGCCATATCACTAAGAAAAATGAGAGAAGTATAAAAGAAAAGTGTAACGTACCATCAGGCCCATAACGACCACTTCATTCATCAAGTCACTATCAGGAGCGTTCCGGAGAGCCTCTTTCTCGGCATCAGAGCACAAAATGTCGAACTGCGGCACCAAATCCTTCGTGTCCTCCAGGAGATTAACATCTGAAGAGATCTCGAGAATATGGGTCGGGCCCCCCGCACGAACCACCGAGCGGGTAATACCCTCCTCAAACATCCTAACATCATCAGGATCGAGGTTCGACTCGGATTCATAGTCGTCGACCACAATGCCCTTCCTTCTTTCAGCAGTTGAGGAGGAAACACAAATAGGAACGAAGGACAAAGGTACGTCCGAAACCACAATGGCGGCCTCTGAAATCTGGCCCTCCGTCACGGCAGGTTGCTGATCAACGACAGTGGCAGGAATCTCCATCGAAGGGGCAGATACGACGGCTGGCTCCATCTCTTCGAGCGGAGTGGTATCAATCCCCGCCCCAGATCCTGTCAAGGGAGAGTCGTCCAGGTGTATTACAGTTGGAGGGGTTGTCTCGAATTCCACTCGCCGCCTCTTGTACAACCCTTCTTCTTCCTCAGTACGGGGAGATTCACTCGTTAGACGAGCGACACGAGTCGGGACCTCAGTCTGAGAAGTGGCCTCTACACTAATAACCACAGTTGCAGACTCAACTGAAGCAGCCCTCGACGAAGATCGAGCGGTAGGTGCTGCAACAGGGCAAGCAGACATTGCAGGCTGGCGAAAAGCTAATGGAGGATCCCTCGCTCTCCGTACTCTCCCTAGCATCGACAAACAACACATAAGAAACTAAGCGAAAAGAGAGGAAAATATAGTAAATAGAAACGACACCTCACCTGTAAGGGGCATGCGTCCAAATTTTTCATAAAATGTCGACCATGTGCGAACCCCCACCATATGGGGAATGATGACACTCACCCACTCGCGGATACCTTCGACAGATGGAGGGGGCAATTTCTCAGATGCAAAGATATAATAAGGTTTAGTACTGTAACAGAAAGCGGTCGGGCATCTCACTGACTAAAAACATAAGAAACTTGCACGCAAAGTTCCACTTCTCAGGGAATCCCATTAGATCCGCCGCAATGTGCTTGGTCCACACATAAAAATAATTCTCGTAGAAACGACGGTTAGTCCTGTCGACCATTTTCACCACCAGACTCTTCGACCCCCGAGGACACATGTGGATCATTGTGCCGCAAATAAGTTGAGGGGCGAAGATATTGAGCATGTGATCCAAAGTGATCTCACAACCGGCGAGTTCCGCGAACTTGAGCAATATCAAAAACAACTTGTACAGGTACGCCGAAAGTTGGGCGGGGCATACCTCGTAAAAATGGCAGAAATCCACTACCAGCAGAGCGAGAGGAAGCGTGTATCCAATGAGAAAGGGGTAGGCATAGAACACGCAGTACCCAGGGCGGTTGCAATGGACTATGTCGTTCCCTACCGCCAGCTGCATGTCAACATAACTGGGGATTACCCAGCTAGCTTTCAACTCCACAATGTCTTCCTCTTTTATAATAGAGGGGATAAGTTCTGGCTCCACCCCGGCGCAACTGGAGAAGTTGATCCATTCTCTCCCAGGACGAGGCAAGATCTCGGTTACCGATGGGACCTCCTCATCTTCCACCAATTCCACTCCTCCGGCAACCAAAGCAACATTTTCCGGCGCCAGAATTGTGACAGGGAGATCAATGCGTGAAGAATCACCAGCCATTTTGTCAAGATGTTGTGGCAAAAAGATAATGGAAAGAAAGGATGAACGTTTTCAGTCAATTGGGGGCAAATGAAAATTCTGAGTATTAGGAAGAAAGTATATTCACAAAATTCTTTCAAGCAAAGGGCAAAGAAGTGTATCAATCAAATGATGAGTTCCTTCTATTTATAAGAGACATAAATCTCCCAAGCACGAAACCCAAGAGTTGCCAATCGAATCTGATAGGGCACGAAACGTTTCGGTTCCCCAGGAACGTGTGTCATAATGGCGGCAACCACGAAACAACGTTTCAATCCAAACTACGTTTCGGTTTCGAAACTGCCGCAATGGTCCAAGGATATTGAAAGAGTGCCATCACCTCACTTAAAACCTAAGGAGCATAACTAAGGGATAAGTAGTCAGATTTCTCCTAGATTTGTAGCAATCATGATCCGTCTGCCTGCCCAGACAGGGGACGACCCCGACAGACAGAGGGACTAATTGTATTAGTTAAAATTTGACCACTACGGTCAAGCTGACCAACACCCCTTCCAAACGACAAGGTATCGAAAGACGACATGGTCTATCCTACATCCCGCACTCACGATTGTAAGCACGTGATTTTTGCCCTATATGAGAAATACTCCCAAAAAATGCAAAATAAAATGATTTTCCTTGGTGTGCAATTTTGAGTATTTTTGTGATATTTTTGGATAATTATTTGTATTTGTCTGTGTTTGCTTGTTTGTTAAATTAATAAAAAATACAAAAATATGTCGCATTTTGCATGTAGGATTTAATTCTACAATTGTTAGTAATTAAATTAGTTTTACAAAAATTAAAATTACAAAAATAGGCATCTTTTGAATTTTTAGCATTTAATGTCCAAATAAACAATTTTGTGCTTAATTATTACTTAATTATGCGTTAATTGTTATTGGGAGTTAATTTACGCTTTTATAACTTAATTTAGTTCTTAATAATAATTTAAGTACTTTTATAATTTAGTTTTAGAAAATAAAAGAAGAAAAGA